GGGCATAGAATAAACAGTGCCAGACAAATTCCCTTCTGCAGACGCCCTTAGTTTATATTTAACCTGGGTTAAACATTAGAGATATCACTCGAAACCAGTTTCAAATGACCAGACACCCTCCCCAAAGTAAGGAATAAACAATGCCAGACAGATTTCCAGCTGCAAAGGCCCCGCCAGACGGCCTTAAAGGGGACCCTAGTTCATATCTAACCTGTGTGACACTCAAAAGAATCAGACACAGAGATAAACAAGTACACAGAAGCAAACAAGTTCTTTACTAGGATACAGGTACAGCCACATACATATGCAAACTAGCAGGTGGATAAATCAGATAAACAAGTGCAGACAGACACAGTTAAAATATGTAATTTACCGAGAGCCTGATGCATACATAAACTGGCACCCCATCAGCAGACAGTCAGGTACATGAATAGACAAGTGCTACATCATCTAAAACAGTAAACGGTCACACGCATAAACAATTATTGCACCTGTGCTGTAGATCAGTTAGTAGCTCGAAGATGAACAAGATTCCATGCAGCAGACGATGAGACAAACAACCCAAACAACAGGTAGATCAGATGAACATGGATAAACATGCCCCTCGCCAACAGACAGCCAAATAGTTAAACTAGAATCCATGTAGTAAAAAGTTATACGCACAGATAAACAAGTGTCCTAGTGCCCAATAAGCAGACTGTCAAATATGGTTAGATAAACTAGCTCCTGATCAATGGCCAGTTAGACAGATTAACACACGGTTATAAATAACAAGCATGTCGGCAGCAGTTACTAAGACGCACTCATGGTAACGAACAGAGAATAACAAGCACCTTACCAGCAGACAGCAAGACAGATATCAAGTAGACAGCTAGTCACACGGAGATGAGCAAGCACTGTACCAACAGGTGAGGCGGTCGTGTTGGGTTGGGAGAACGCTATCACTTGGGACGGAAGGCACGTGTCTCCTCTGCTGACTGACTCATGCCACCACGTGCTGGTCTTGCTTACTCAGTCAGATACACCCACGGCTGTCACTTTGCACATGGAGGACCTGGAAACCGCTTCTAAGAGGGTCTTCACTTTCTTTAGGGGAAAAGACAGAGTCACTATCGACTCAAATCTCAAGGTTTGATACTCAATTTATACATATTTATAGTTTTGTTTTCAACTATTACTTCAATTTCAGTCAGTTTCAGTTGACCCAATATTTATCTTATATTTTTCAGTGAGTAATCAGATTTTTTTTAAATGCTGATAAAGTACATTATCCCTTCATGTAATCTTTTCATAGCATTCTATCGCTTCCTGCGGCTCTATCACAAATTGTGGATCTCCTACAGATGACATACAACTCAAAGAACGTGCGCAGTCCAATCATCAATTTCGGTGGCCTGACCTTGACTTGGACGCTGGGCCGCGCAACAGTGTCGTCCTCTGAAGGCCTGAGCTTAGAGTGTCACCTAAGCCAGGACCTGTGTCGGCTTTCTGTCACAGGCGAGCACTTCGCTGCCACCGCCGGGCTCCTCGGGGTTTTCGACTTCGATAACAACACTGACTTCATGACCAGTGACTGGGAGATGGTGAGGTCTGCCTTGAAGTTGCGACTTTCAGGCTTAATGTGTCATGATTTGTTTTCTTTACTTTATAACCATTGTTACGTTATTTATCATTTTAGTAATTTATTATAAGTATTATTAAATACCTTCCCAGTTCAAAGCTAAAAGTTCCCAGTTAATCTTGATGTGAAATAAAACTTTATATTCAGATTCCTATTAAATCTGTTCGACTCCTAAATAAGAAACAAACGTAAATAGATCGGTAAAAAGTTAAAAGCAGCCTTTCTCCTTAGCCGGCTTCAGCTGAGGAGTGGGCAGAAAGCTGGCGGGTGACCTCTGCCGAGCAGTGCTCCTCAGCCCTCCCAGAGTCTCTTGCAGCACCACCTGAAGACCAGCACTGCAGCAATCTTTTCAGCAGCCCTGTGTCCCCCTTGAGGTAAATAATGAAGGAAATAAAGTCTTTCACTACCACAAAAAAAAAAAAAAAAATTGATCTTGAGGCCTTGGAATTAGAAAAGGGAACATTGTTGCTTTTGTTTACAGTGTAACACTAATTTAAGTATATAGCAATCTTTAGCCTATATCAGTAATAGCATATTTTGCTTATCCACATTTTATTTATATTATTATTTTTTTTAAACAGATCCTGCTTTGCTAGTGTGCCAAGCTCCCCTTACTTAGAGACCTGTCTCATAGGGAAGATATGCGCTGCTGAGACTGCCTACATACACACCTGTCTCCGGCACTATCACGAACTTTCGGTGAACATATCGTCGTACTGCCGTAGGTTTTCCTCATTTTCTTCTGTAATTGAACTACTGCTGTTTGCTTATAATTGTTTATAATTTTTGTTGTCTTGGTAAGCAGCTGATTTACTATGATGATAAACATAATGAAGCATACCATGGCATTCACAGGACGTCAGTACTGTTGAAAACTTCATTTCCCAGTCTTTCAAAATTATCATCAATTTGCAACAGTCAGTATCTTATCATCTCCTATGTGCATTCTTTTTAGATTGATATATGTACAGATGCCACACTGCCTCCTGAGAATGAAATTGTATATCATAATTGACAATGAAGAATTGGTGTAACAAACTACCATAAATGATTTTGTCCTCCATTACATCGAAAGTTGTCAACTGGAGAACAGATTTAACCCACGGACCTCTTTGCAGAGCCATGCACACTTCATGGTGAGGAGGAACAGGGTGCAGAGGATCTTAGGAAGGAGATTGTCATCATCACAGACTTTGAATGCCTGGAAGACGTTCAGGACCTCGTGACAGCCCTACTTAAGGATGGCAGGAAGTAAGCATTTAAAAACGAGGAAAAAGAGACCAAAAGTACATAAATACAAAACTCAAACCTCACGTTTCTTCTTATTCAGGAATAGAAGAGTACTTGTCCGATATATTGGGCGTGGAACCCCTCCAGTTGAGGATTTAGATGGAATCGAGGAAATGGTAATAGACTCTGGGACTTCTCCACTTGATGCCGTTGCTGCTGCTGCTGCTGTCGATTTCTCGCCACGGGCTCTTAAGTCTATCATCCTTTTCGATTGTGATCATCCACGATGTACAGTTTCGGTATGGCCAGTACATCTGTCATTCAATATGCTTTTATTTCATTATTCATTTGTTGTTATCTTGTCACCAATTCCTAAGTTGTGTGACAGATATGCTGCCTACATTGTTCTTTCAAGTTGTACCCATATCTACTTCTTCAAACACCTTCCACTTCTCTTTCCCTCCTTAGAGCACTTCGGCACCGGTCCAGCAACTACGCAATGCACTGTTAGTTCAGGGTGTCCAATTGCATGTGGTCACCAATGATTTCATTGCCGTCCTCGACCCCAGCGAGCTCTCCAACAAGGCTAAGCGCCAGCTGCTGGGTATGTTGGTTTCCACTTCTAATCAGTTATTCTCTCTTTTAACCCGTAAGCCGTAAGCTGCATAGTAGGGTTCTGTCAGTTAAACTGTGGTATGGGATTATAGCCTTCATAACATATAATGTAAGTCGTAGTTACACGCTGTTCATTACATGATGTATGTCGCAGTTTATGGATTAAATTACCACCCCCCTCTTCTGTGCGTCCAAGTCAAAAATGTTTGGACAAGCAACTGACTGGCAACTAAACTGCCATGTCCTTGGGGATGGGTTTAGTGTCAAGGGGATACAGTGTTAACAGTGTTTAGGATTCACTGATGTGAGACGGTTAGGTAATTCATGGAATTACAACTGGTGCCAGGCCAGAGATACATGCTTGCTTTATCTCCATCTACCCCCTCCCCCAATATATATATATATATATATATATATATATATATATATATATATATACATTTATATATATATATATATATATATATATATATATATATATAGCATTGACGAAGACACCGTTATATAATTTTTATAATTATAGTAGAGTGAATTCTTCTGCCAACATCAACAGACCTGACATTAGTTGAATGAATAGATAAATTAAAATCTAATCTCTCTGAAAAAATAAGCAAGGTCCTTTCACTTCTTTGCGTAGGTCTGGATGGCCACACGAGTTACCTGATGTCCCATGCCCGCAAACGCCTGGTCAGAGGGCACCGGGGTAACAGAGAACACATAACTACGCCCATTGGAAATACTTGTTGTAGCCTTGCGGTGGAGGTATGTATTTAGGGTATGATCTTATTGATTCACTTATTTTTGTGATATCTGATGGCTGATAAAATAATAATGCCTTTATTCTTAGTTTCTGTTTTCTTGGAAAATTAAGTTTTGTCAGTTTTTTTATGGCTTTGCAAGGAGGCATAGCTGGCATTACAATAACCATCGTTATTAAGGGAGACAGCCATGGATATATGTACATGCATGGATGTACCTGTGTGTAAATTTGAAGGTTAAAACCATATATGTGATAGTTATCTGGATCGCTATTGGCGAGGTACAAAACCATTGATCTGGAAATGAAGGTATCATTAGGCACCACCCGACAACTTGTTTAAGGGCTTACAATCCACCAGCATCATATTGCTGACAATCTTATCATACGAATGATGACTCTGTCTTAAGACCAGCCAGCTCGCTACTCTGTTCATCAACACTGGCCATTCTGTTCTTTAGTGGTAAGCCGTCCTCTTCTGTCGGAAGCGTATTGTGAGAATGTACCTTTGATTTATTGCTTGATCTTTAGATATGAACTTAATCATCAACACTTATTTACAGTGACAAATGAACAAACATAATGAAAGTCTGGACCTAAACACATGTTGTTTATTAACTATCATGTTATTTAAGTTTCATCTTTGACATAAGCACCGATATGTTCACATTAAGAGTTTGAAGTGCGTTAGCGAGAACATATCGTAAGTTCATGTTATAGAGTTGTTTAAGCTAACAAAACAATTTTATTAAAATTATTTTCGGTCAGTTGGTCTAA